AATACTTTGACCAAGGTAAATTAACTGATGCTGTTCTGCTTAACACACAGTATTATTAACTCTACTAACTAAGATAAGTTGATTAGATAATTTAGTAATTTAATTCAGAAATGTAATCAATGTTGTGTCAATTTTCCCCTGTGGTATGGTATTGAATATCAATATTTTTCAAAATATTGTACTGAAGTTAGAAATGCCAGTATTTTGACAACACTAAGTTCAATAAAGTCCTTATATTGATGTGTGCTTTGAAAATTGACTAAATGATCTGTGATTCATATTACTTACCCCTGAGGGTGTTCTTAAGAAAGGGTATTTCTTGAGTATATCCTCCACAGTCATTCCATCTGCTATCTCTCTTCGCCGCCACGCAAATGTTCGCTGCATGCAGTCTTTAACAATAGAGGTGTCTGGTTGCATTCTCTCATACTGGACACGCAGGATGTTCACATGTCTCCCAATAGAGGACGCATCCTCACCAATGATAGCCGGCACCTGATGGAAATAAAAACAGGTTTACCTCACAATGCAAAAACATTTTTCCTCATCTGAACCAGAATGTTGCAACCACACAAAAAGAGCCTCAATTACCATACCTACATATGTCTTGTAAAATATTATTGTACACTAACTTTTCTAAGAACTGTAAGCAGCTGCATTAATCCACTCACCCCTGGCACAGATCTGCAATAGGTTCTTGCAGCCTCCGTAGACTGTCTGGCTCTCTTGTGCCCAAACTTCTCCTTACTCCTTCTCACCTCGTCTTCATGAACCAAAGGTGCACGCTCTGCTTTGAATTTGCGTTTGAGGGACTGATGCCAGGTATGCTAACACAGACAATACAACAAAGATAACCCCCATCATTAAATATTAATTTCATGAACTTATCCAAGGAAAATAACATAATACACTTTAGGGCTGCATGATTAATCTCATCGAATTGCAATCGCAAGGTCGTCATGTGCGATTACAAAACCGCAAAAAGGGTGTGATTTAATTTAACAGAAAAAGTGTGCTCTGTGTGTGACACTGGTCTTTGTGTACACTGCAGTCTGCTCATTATCCACACCGGGCTCTCGCATGTGCCCCTAAAAACAGATAGACCTACATGCAATCAGAAAAATGATTTATGAGCAGTATGCGAGTAACGTTTAAAACAACAACCTACCGTAACCCCCAATATGTGCCAATATGTGCTGCTTCTAGCCACCTCCTCCTGAGAGAAACACTCTCCCCTTGTTCTTTTATACATCTGTTTTACTAAAGTTATTGTTATAAATATTGTTTAACTTTGTTCAATTTGAGAAATACACAGTTCAAAATGTCAGTATTTTGTGCATTTTCCTTGATAATCAAGCAAGTAGACTCATAGTACGATTTGTTCCATTATAATCGAATTGCAATATTGTCCACAATCGCAATATGACTCTCTCCAAATCATGCAGCCCTAATACACTTGCATGCATTCTTTATTTCATTCAATGTTCTCAAACTCATTACATCAGAAAATAACAAGCTGCATAATATCAAACGTAACTTACATAGCCGTTTCCCTCCAGATCCTTAAGGACAGGGTACTTGTGTTTTAACAACTTGCACATATTCTGCGTTGGTGGGATACCTGTGATCAAGATTAAATTAAATGAATAAAGCAATTTAGTTTACCCATAAACCGTTGTTTAAAAGCCACAATCGTGAAAATACTACAAAAATAATTGGCCTTAAAATTTTTACAAGTAAATTTGACTAATTTTACTCACATCTTGACTGCCAGAAGTACTTAATGAAGCAATGATGGAGTAACGCCATGGCAGAGACATAGGCTACCTCTAAAATGTTCTAACTTGGCCATGAGTAGCAATGGACAATACATACATTGACTTACATTGTGTATTCGATGATTGCTTCATGGGAACTCGAATGATCCTATGTCGATCTCTAGATAACTTCAAACATGCTTCTTTGTTGTCGAGTCTGGTCTGAAGATCTCTGGGGAAAGGTGGAATGATGAAACCAGCAGGCAGTCTCCGATTTGTCTCACTGCTGAGATGGGGAAGAGAAGGGATGAAGAACTTGAATTACCAGCAATACACAGATCAACCCACAAGTATCAAACAATTCACAAACAAAGGAAACAATATATCGAATGTCATATTCATAGAGCTACAATACCTATTAGATAATAGATATATAATGCTTTTAATGCTCAACATATCAAACTTTACCTTTCTATAGTCGAAGGCTGCTCAATGCATTCTTCAGGCACTGGTTCTACAGTCAGTGTTACAACATCCTTTAACTCCTGTATAAATTTGTTGAACTTGACTTGTTTTTTGAATGATCCAGGAAAAAGGCATGATACCATATTATCCGTCAGGCCATACTCTACTGTTTCCCCGTCCACTTCATTGTCTGAAAAGAACATTGTCACACACAGACAGAGGTAGAGAAAGAGAAGAAAAGAGTCATCCTTCAAAACAAAACATAGACACATTTATGTAAATTGTGTTCTTCAGAAATTAAACTGAACAACAAATACAGATCGGGGTACACTTCATGTAGACCACTACACACAGCTAGCAACATAGAAAAACTATTCAGTTGCTTCAGTCCAAGAGACAGTAGCTGGCTAGCTAAACTCTTAACATCAATAGAGAGCGGTGCAAGTGTAACTGATCACATATTACTGAAACATGCTGCGTGGTAATGTCAGCTTCTGGTATGTTGTTAATAACACTGTTGTATGATAAGCTAATGTAGCCCCTCTTAAGCCACAGACGTCCTATGGCCTGTAACGTTACGACTGGAAGGAGTAAAACTATGTGAAGCACAAGGAGACAGGTTGGCTGTGATATCAATTACCCCATTAAACACACAAGCTGACATGCAGTAAATATAATGGCCAGCAGACACGTTAACCCAGTGCAAGGGGAGCTCACAATCAATATAGTAAAGGCATATACATCACACTAATACAACATCAGAACAGAAATTAACAAAGAAAAGAAAATCACCAACAGTGGACCTCAACTGTACCCTTTTTTCTGACAGTGTAATAGTGGCAATGTTGTGGAGAACCACACATGCCACTATAATGTCACAAGCCCTTTCTGGAGTGACCCTGAGCCTACGAAGGCACTGGAACCGGGCCTTGAGTATCCCGATGGTCATCTCCACTCTGGCTCGTGTCCTGCAGTGAGCCAAGTTGTAGTGTTGCTGTGGGCCAGGCTCAGGGTCAGGGTAAGGAGTCAGAAGATAGCGCTGGCAGGGGTACCCTCTGTCTCCGAGTAGGTAACCATCGAACTCTCCTATGATAATACAGGATACAGTTTAATGTTTCAGTTGCAATAGGAGGAAGCAAAATATTGATCATAGGATATAGCTGTATACTGTATATAAACTCACCACGGGCAAATCTGGCACTCAGTGTAGACTCACGAAACATTTGTGAGTCATGCAGAGACCTAGGCCACTTCGGCTTCCACATTGTTTATCATGTGGGCTGCATCACATATGATCTTCACAGTGGAGAGCAGTAATTAGCTGTATAGTGAAGTGTATTTCATTTGGAATGTTAAAGGCTACTATTCAGGCCTACCTGTACATTAATGCTGTGGACAGATCTCCTATTCACATAATCTCCTTCATTTATTGAAGGAGCTGTGATAGGAATGTGAGTGCCATCTATGCAGCCAATCACACCTGGAAACCCTCAAATATATCAGATTGACTGACTAGTGCTTCAAGTCTCAAAGCTTTATGACATACATTAATTATTGCTTAGACTGATATAGTAGCCGTTTCAGTGCAAGTGTCACATTTCGGACAGCCCGACAGACAGTTGCCTTGGACACAAGCTCTGCATCACCGATGTTATACAAAAAACTGCCGTTGGCAAAAACAAAGCGCAATACAAAGAATTTGCTCGGAACTGAGAGCGTGTCCACGATGTGTCATGTGAACGATGTGAGGGCTGAGAATGTTGTTTAGATAAATTATTGATGATGCAGAGAAACGGAAACGCTCAAACAGGTACTCATCAGGGAATAATAAAACTTCCAATCGGGCTCTAATAATCCTCTCCCGACGGAGTATCTGCGGAGTATCTGCGCCTCGACATCAACTGGCTCTTCAAGAAAAGGACACGCCATGTCTGCCACTGCCTTCAGTCTGCAGGCTTCAACTTAAGAGCAGGAGAAACTCAGAGTTAGTTGAAGAAAACCTGCCAGCGAGCAGGTTAGGTTCACGGAGTATGTTTCCAGGGTAACTGACTCAGAGTTAAGATGAACTGGCTTTGTGAAACCGAAAAACCAGAGTTTCCCTCATCTCAGGGTTAACTAACTCAGAGTTTTCACTAAACCTGCTTTCTGAAACGGGCCCCAGGTTAAGGACAATTAAACCTAACTGATGTTATCTTACCTGTTCTATGCAGCTCAACGAGCTAACAGCTGATGAGCGGCTACAGTTTGTTATCTCGGAGGTTTTCTGCTCTTTCTAACAGCGACACAAACATATTACTGACTGAGCACTTTAACTAAATACAGACCAACATAAAGCCAATTACCCCCCGTCACAAAACCCACAACAGTAACAGAGTTATGGAGTTATGGAGCCCCCCCTTGGTGATTCATGGCATAAACTTCGTGTGAATCTCGATAAAATGCCAAATGTCAATGACAGACTGCAGCTGGCTGCTGGCTGGCTGGCTGCAGCCGGCCGGGCTCGCTTGCTTGTTCTCTGATAGCTTGCTCTTTTATAGTAACAATGGTGGAGCTCCGCTAGTCAAAACTTCTGGAAGGGATGGTAACATTCGCGGTCAAAGGTCGCAAACCAAAGTGTGACATCACAGTTGGTGCGAAGTCTACATTGCATGTTTTATCTCCTGTATTTTGACTGAGGCAGCCCACAAAAACATGACTGATTCATTTTTTTTCACACTTTGCCTGCTGATAGGCCCTCCAGAGTCCCAAATGTACATAATCAAATGATTAAAAAGTTGGTTTTGCATAATATGACCCCTTTAATACAGTAAATATGTCTGCCTTCTTCATTTGTTCTTAATATAAGCAATGAAGTGCACCACCTTCATCTGAAACACAATTATTTATTCTTCGTTGGAGAATAGATAGATAGATAGATAGATAGATAGATAGATGGATAGATAGATATCTATCTATAGATGTTTATTGTTATATGAAACAAACGAAAGCAAGTTTCCTCTGTGCAATGAAATTCTTTCTTTGCTGTGCTGTCCACCCTGATACCGACGCATTAAGTACAATAAGTAACACAAAAAAACCCACAATATTACCCAATTATAGAATAGTAAAAAACAGAATATTACAATAAGTACAGTAAGTAAAAAATAAATAAAAATAACTCAATATTACAGTAATTTTAAAAGTGTCTGATGTGCAATGTGCAATGAATACCATGGGATGTAAACAGTAAACAGCTGTGCAAGTGCACAGTTGTAAACAGAAGTACAGGTGTAAGGTGACGAGGTGGTACATTGATGTGACTCCTGTCAGCTGTTCAGGAGTCTGATTGCAGAGGGGAAGAAAGAGTTTTTGAGTCTCGTTGTTTTGCATTTCAAACTTCTGTACCTCCGGCCTGAGGGTAGAAGTGTGAGCAGTCCGTGTTGTGGATGGGTGGGGTCTCTGAGCATGGAGGCAGCTCTCCTGTGGACTCTGTGGTGGTAGATGCTCTGCAGAGAGGGCAGTGGTATCCTGGTGATCCTCTCAGCCGCCTTAACCACTCTCTGCAGGCGACTGCGGTCCGCAACAGTAGTGTAGCTGTGATGCAGCTGGTCATGGTGCTCTCAACCACGCAGCTGTAGAAGTTGCTGAGGTAACACTTTATAATGAGTACACACTATTAAGCATTAGTTAAGCATGAATAAATAATGAATTCATCATTTATAAGGCATGAATACACATTAGTATGTAGTTTATAAACAGTTAAAAATGTTTTATTCATCATTGATAAGCACATCAGTTATGGATTAGTAAATACTGAATTCATCAATTATAACACATGAATACACATTAGTATGTAGTTTATAAACACAGTTAAAAATGTTTTATTCATCATTGATAAGCACATTAGTTATGGATTAGTGAATACTGAATTCATCATTTATAAAGCATGATTCTGCTGTAAATAGTCATTACTATGTGGTTTATAATCACAGTTATAAATGTTTTACTCTTCATTGTACTGTACATTTCTGCATGCACTTGCACATCCACTATTCAGACATGCATTAATGATTAGTGACTGTGTTAGCAGATGTTCTATAAAACTCACAACAAATTAATTTTCTAATGATGGCCTATAAACAGTTATTAATGCAGGAATTCACAGTTACAAAGCACTTACTACTCCTTAATTAAGTATTTTGCACGAGCTTATCTAAAGTGAGCACTATCTATGGCTTATTAAGCATTTACAAATGAGATATAAAGGCTGACAATGCCTCGAGACTCACAAAATGTTCAGTTATCTTAACAGACGAAGGAGAGACACAACACAAAGGGATATAGAACATATTGTATTGATATTTACTGCAACTTCCCAACATATTGTATGAAGACGAACAAGGGTGGTTTATGAAGACATGCTATTGTTGTGATCTTATCTGTTTGGGACGTGTACGTTGAGCTCCCGCTCTCAGCACGTCATCAACGTGATGAGAGCGGGAGGCGGGATGTTACGTCATATTTACGTTAACTCTCAGAAGTTTCTGACAGTGCAGCCAAGGGGAGCATGGAGAAGCACATTGGAGTCAGTGGCCGTCAGCGGCACTAGTGGTGAGTATGTGTCTTTGTTTGGTAGCACACATTATGGTTGAAAGATAACGTTAGCTTGTCACTAACGACTAACGTTACTAACGTTATCGACCCGCCTGCGGTGGCTAAGCCGACCGCGGGCGGGTCGGTAACGGTAGTAACGTAACGGTAATGGTAGTAACGTTACTCGTTAGTGACAAGCTTACGTTAACTTTAGTATTTATAGACCCCTTCATAATTTCAGGTGAATAGACGCTTTAATCTTTAATATGTACAAAGGATTTCAGTTTAATACTTTCACATAATACAACATCACTGTTGTATGAGGAAAACGGAACCACAGAGGAAGTTTAACAGCAGTTCTCTCTGATTCCCTACTTTAAGTCATCGTACCTGAAAACTACACTGACGATCTGCTCAGTTTCTGTCTTCTTTCCACACTCCAACAGACACACAAACCAACCATCACCAATGTGAGCCAGGTCTGAGTACCCACTGGGTCCGCTGTTGATGGTCCAGGGTTTGCTCCAAGCTTTCGGATTGGTTGGAGATTTATTCAGATAAAGTCCTAAGTTGATCCTTTTGGACTGGTCAGTCGGGTGGCTGAACAGCAGCCACTTTGTTTCACAATCTGCAGCTTGACGTTGAGCTGGAAAGGAAACCACACTTCCCTGACAGCCTCCCCCGGTTTCCACAAGCTTATGAGTCTCTTCAAGGGTCTCCATATCGAGAGCTTCCACTCGGTAGCCTCCCTTACTACGGGCATTGCAGTAGAGTTTGCCATCAGAAACCTCTGCCATTTCACATTCCAGTGAGTTTTTTTTAAGGGGTTTTCCAAGTTGCCAATTACTGTCGTTTTTATCTCTATACAGACAGAACACATACGGGGTTGAGCTGCAACATAGAGTAGAGATACAATAAGCATACAGTGGCACAATCAATCTACCACTATCTGTTTGGATCCCGTGACCTGGACCAACAGCAAACGTGGCCCACTGTCTAATTTCACTCAGTCTGTCAGTGAGATCAGTCACTGCGCTCCAACTGTGGCCTGTGTCTGTGGTTGTAACGAAGCACAGACGGGTTTTATTGGTGCGGTTGTTTATCTGCCACTGCTCTGACACAGTTCCTTCCACACAGGTAAAGAACAGGAAGAGTGTTTGGTTGTCTCTGTCATACACCGGGCAGGGGTTCATAGGACGGTATCCATGAAGATGAGCCTCTTTCACCTCTTTGAAATCAGACCACTAGAAAGAATAATGTTCATAAAACAAAGTAAACCTGATGAGTTCAGCTCAAACTGTTTTAACCTATTAAAGTTCACTAAACAATCTAAACATTATTACTGCTGCAGTTAAGGAACTATAGTTTTTATAAAAAATACAATCTTTACATTTGGAGGATCAATAAGAATTGATGCATACTTCAGCATATGAAGGTTAATAAACTGAAATTAAAAGGGGAATATCCTCAGTTATACAGCATTATAACACCGACTGTGGTCAGGTTTTCTTTAAGAAACACAGAAATGTAACAAACTTGAATTAAATCACCAAAACTCAAAATACTGAACACATTTCAGTTCAGTTTTTACTTCAACACTTAATTTTTGAGTTGGTTTAATTAATGTGATTGAGTGACTCCACATTCTTTCCTTTCATTAAAATGCTGTTAGGTTTTATGTTGAGTTGGAAACAATATATTCAGCAGTAATCCAGCAATAAAATTCATTATTTGGTTTAATTACCTCAATCGTCTTCTGAGAGTTTTCTTCCTTTAGCGTTCCTGTTTTCATCACCAGGTGTTTGCTGCTCGTGTCGTCCTGACCTGTCCTCTTCTCTGCAAAGGCCAGAAGAGTCTGGTCTTCACTGTAGAAGAGAGCAGGGATCCTGTAAACCCAGGAATTAAAGACAGTTTGTTTCTTTAGTTCTAAATCTCTTGAAGAGCTGTTGCCCATGGTTGGTGTAAAATGATGGTACAATAGATGAGAATGAACAACTTGATGTTTACATCTGCAGTTACTGTCTGCGGAGGCTTTAATGAGACTGGGTGGTGCAGTTTGAATGAGGCGGAGTCTTTAATTTCAGCCAAAGAACTGACATTAAATAACTTATTACAGGAGTTGACATCATTCCTTCCAGCTGGTTGGAGAAGATAAGAAATGTCCACTAACTGGTAGGACCAGAACCAAAACATGTTCTCTGATTAATGCAGGAGGAAGTCTGACTACAGGCCCAGTGTGTGGGATACACAGATACAGATCCTGTTTGGAAAGGTCATGTGAGGACAGGGTTGTTTCTTCATGTGGTGTGTTCATGGTAACAGGAGACCCAAGAGATTGTTGGCATGTAAACGGGAAAGGGAGGCAGACTTTTAGGGAAATTACATCACCACAGAACAAGTTTTCGACTCATTATCGGGGTATCATTGGGAATGTGGTCAACACCCTCCGGACAGAGAGGACTGTATGTAGGCTGAGAGTGAATTACTGACTTTAATATTATTACTATTAATTATCATAATATTAATAATAATCATAATGTTTCTACAGCATCACAGCATTACAGTGATTGGAGGAGGCTGCACATCTGGAGCACAGAAGAACAGTTAATGGACAGTGGGGCAGAAGGTCAACGGTTCGATCCCCCATCAGGGCAGAAGGTCGAGCTTTTATTCTGAAGGAGACAGGATGACTGCAGTAAATGATGTTTAATGAGGTACAACAACAACAATAACAACAACAGCTCTCAGTCAGTATGTTCTCTGTCTGTGTTACATTATATATATATTAAATGTAGATAAAAAGGTGTTGATGTGTTTAGTTTGACAGCAGAGTCCCAGGATGAAGAGGGCATCGCTACTAAAGAAAGGTTTAATAAATACAAACGCATTCAGTGAACACACAGTACAGGATGAGAAACGTTATCTTCCATAATAATGGAATAATGGAATGGCGCCGGCGACAACGGCAGCCTGTCATGGCAGCTCCTTTCATTGTTGTAGTTTCAGTGTGTTTTTACTATTTTGAACTGTTTTCTTACTCTCTTACTTTGTTCACGTCGCCTAAATACTTTTTTGGCGTTTTTGAGCACTTTTTATTTTTTGTTTACGCTGGTCTCCATGGCAACGGCGAGTCACATTGTTTATTGTCCTCCATACCGGAGGAGCTGAGGAGGAGACGGTGAGGCTGCAGAGCGGGGGTTAAAGGGAGGATGAAGAAGAGGAGCTTTAAACTCTACATCCCTGCAATCATCGAGCAGATACCGGACTCCATCGTCACCATTCCCCGGCTTCCAGACGGTTCGAGCCGACAGGGACACCACCGCGACCGGCATGAAGAAAGGAGGGGGACTGTCCGTGCTCATCAACAACAGGTGGTGTAACGCCGGGTTCCTCACAGTGGTCTTCATCATCATCATCATCATCATCACTGTCTATATTCCTCACAGTGGTCTTCATCATCATCATCATCACTGTCTATATTCCTCACAGTGGTCTTCATCATCATCATCACTGTCTATATTCCCCACAGTGGTCTTCATCATCACCATCACTGTTTACATTTATGTTGTCTTATTTATTCTCCTGTACAGCACTTTGGTTGTTTTTAAAGTGCTTAACAGATAAAGTTGGATTGGATTGGATAATCCATAATCCATCCAATTCAATTCAGTTTTATTTGCATAACAGAAGTTATCTCAGGACACTTTTCAAATAGAGCAGGTCTAGACCGAACTCTTTAACATTAATTACAGAGACCCAACAGTACCACCATGAGCAAGACCTTGGAGACAAGGGCAAGGAAAACTGCCTGTTAAAAGGCAGAAACCTAGGACAGATCCTCCGGCTCTAGGTGGGTGGTCGTCTGTCTCGACCAGTTGGGGTGAGAGAGAGAGAGAGAGAGAGAGAGAGAGAGAGAGAGAGAGAGAGAGAGAGAGAGAGACGTGTGTTTGTAGACATTAGAACAGCTGTAGCGAGAACGGGAGCCGGGAGGAGTAGCGGCAGCCCGCTACACAGTGGAAACTGGCACTGCGTTCAGCGGTAGTTTAGTAATCCACGGTAGTACTGTTGTGTAGGAACCGTGACGTTTTGGCCCCGCCAGTACCATGCAACAGTAAATGTTTAAATCACAGCCCTACGTTGTATACGCCTCCCTGTAATTCACTCACTCATTAGGCTACTCTGCTCAGGCCGTGACCAGCAGAGACAACCATGTTGCTGCTAATCAGTGTGCTAGCAGCAGCAGGGCATTATCATTCATTACTTGTGTTGTTGTTGTTGTTGTTGTTGTTGTTGTGAATGTACGGCAGGCTGTAGCCAACGATATATAGCGCAATTCATTACTTATAGGAAACGTTTCAAGAGCAACAGACTACCTCCAAGCAGCACAGCACAGGGAGAAGTGGGTGTAATGCGGAAGACGTAGCCAGTCAAACCAACCAATAGAAACTCTTCTCTCGTCCACCAGCGTAGGCCCCGCCCATCAAGTGCAGCTGAATTTGCAAACAAAACTTTAGAACTTGCAAGCAAAGAGGACGCAAAATGGTTGCATGTTTTTACTTATGTAAGGTAGTAGCCTAAATACTCCACAGGGTGACACTGTTGCGCCCTCTACTCTTCTGTGAATACAGCAAATGTTGAAGTTTGTCCCTTACGTGACACCGTAGTTGGGTTATTCATGCCATCTAAATGTTTTCATTCATTGTCCTGTAAGGTAGCAGTGTTAGTGGCGGCCTGCATCCTTTTAAAATGTCTTAACTAAAATCACCCATCCGGTCATTATGTTCATCTGATGTGTTAATTTACATGTTAGTTTACATTTCGGTGTGGGTTTGAGAAGCGAACACTTCTATTTTATATGAAAACTTTGGCTGTAATGTTGGCTAGCTTGCTGTGCGTGAGTAGAGCACCTGTTCAGTGGAAATATTGCAGGATGAAGCATTATTCTTTCAGTTTGCTGTTTTAAGTCATTTAATTTATTTTTATGAAGTCATATGTTTATAGAGTGCCTTATTTAATTTAAACTTCCTGTAATTTCTCATTTTTTGTTGTAGAGTATTATTTTGTCACCATATATTTGTTTATTTGCACTAGAATATAGTTTTTAAGAAAAACTATTAAAAAAAATGTTTTCATTCATTGTCCTGTAAGGGTGACGGAGCCAGCAGCCAGTGTAGAGGACCAGAGGTGAAAGCTGTCAATGTGTGCCAATAAAGTGTCTCCAGGTCTCAATCCAGGACTCCTGTCTCCAGTGCTTCTCTTCCCTCCCCGCGCATACACCCTATCACAACCATAAACACAACGCAGAGTCCCTGGGTGTGTAGGGAGGCTGCAGCACATCCTGTGGGTTACACTTACAAACATTAGTTTTGATTGAAGTTGAAGAAATATGTTCTCTCATATTTTGTTTTCAATTGCAACCTGTTCTGTTTCCATCTCAAAACAATTTTTTTTGATTGCCACTTACTCTTTTTTGGTTTCAAATCTCTTTTTTGGTTTCAAATATATTCTTTTTGATTGAATAATAAAGGAACAGAATTCTCTCCATAGGGCAGAACGGTACTCCTACTGGCAGGTTCGAATCCTGATGGAAGCATACTGTGAAATGTGTGTAAAGTGTTGGAATATGTTCTATAAATATTAAAATGATTAAAATATGCTTGTAACAGTTGTATTGAGTCTATAAATTATAATGAATTTGCATATTTCCAAGGCCAGGTAATGCAATAAATGGATTTTTCATTTACAGTATGGTTTATCTCCTGTGTCTTCATTTTATTGAGAATAGTTTTATATATATATAATCACTGTTTATTGTTTTAAATTTGATATAAGATATATATTTGAAATATTAATTGAAATATATTAATTAAGGCATAATAAAGGTCCAGGATACAGGACAGTGCAGCATATCAGTGTGGAA